GGATGAATCTGTACAAACTAAATATCTACGAATGATAGATTATAAATTGGAAGATATTAAGAATAGAGAGGAGGCCCTTTTCGATCGGTTTTCGGATAGAACAATGAAGGATAACGAAATGACTACAGCAATTATGGTCAGAAAGCTGGATACCCTAGAGGAAAATCTGACAGCAGAAACCATCGAACTAGAGCGTAAGTTAGTAGACAGGCTGGGAAGGAGAATGGCTATGGAGGAAAAAAGCATGAGTAAAGAGATTGATACCGATCTAGCACAGCTAATAAGGGACACGGGAAGAGAGACAACCCAGGAGATAACAAAGTCAATAGACACCGTACTAACGGAGTGCATGCAAGACATACATAATGCTATAACATATGGAGGAACTGCACCCGATAGTAATACGGAAGTACTTAGTGGACTGGGGCGTCTCGAAACAAATATAAAGGAAATAATGGAGAATACAAAGGAAGCAATCACAGGTAACATAAAAGAAACTACAGGCAACATAACAAAAATAATTGAAAGAATATCATCACAAGAAAACACAACACCAGTGGGAATGCACGGGACAAACACATACGCAGAAATCACTAAAGGCAAAAAACATCGCAAGCCAAAAACAATGCACTCCCTTCTTATCACATCCAAGAACAAAAATGACATGGCACAAGACGTAATTGACAAGACCAAGGAGATTCTAAAACCAGATAAAAATGGGATACAAATTGAGAGAATCAGGAAAGTCAAGGATCAAAGAATCATTGTAAGTTGCATAGAAGAACAAGAGACGGAAAAAATTAAAGAAAAGATAGAAGTAAGTGAGGAACTAGAAGCTGAAAGAGTGAAGAACAAAAATCCACTGATAATTATAAAAGAAGTTAAGTACAAATTGACAGATGAGGAAATAAAAGAGGCCATAAGGAATCAAAATCCGGACATACGAGGGTCAAACTGAAAGTTCTTAGAACTGGCCACTTATAAACAATATAATAAAAAAATAATTCTAAAATTTGAAAATATAACTCTTTGCCAATATTACTGAGTATATATTTCATTCATTTGTCATTTGTTTTACGATTTGGCGGCAAATTGAAAATTGTCTGTCTCACGTCATCATGAATTTAACACGAGAAAATTTTCGTGCAATGATTTTTTATGACTTTCGATGTCATTTAAGTCAACAAGAAAGTTATGATAGACTACGATTGGCCTTTCACGATGAAGCCCCATCTCGTGCGACTGTTTACAACTGGTTTAATGAGTTTAAACGTGGTCGCACTAATCTCACTGATGATTTACGTGAGGGACGGCCTTCTACGGCGACGACTGAAGATAACATCTGTGTTGTGCGGCGTATGATAGAGACTGACAAAAGAGTGACCTATCAACAGATTCGGACAAGCTTAGGCATCGGTATGAGTCAAGTGCACAAAATCCTCCACGAACATTTAGCGGTCAGGAAGCTTTGCGCCCGGTGGATACCTCATAATTTGACTGAGGCTCAAAAACTCCATCGTGTGGATTGGTGTCGTAAAATGATTGAAAAATTTAACGGAGGTGACTCAAATGCTGTGTTCGACATACTAACAGGTGACGAAAGCTGGATTTACTGTTATGATCCTAAAACCAAAAGACAATCTGCTCAGTGGGTGTTTCCTTTCGAGGAGTTGCCAACTAAAGTGAAGAGAGATCGAAGTGCGGGAAAAAAAATGGTGGCCTCGTTCTTTGGAAGGATAGGTCATTTTGCAACAATTGTGTTAGAGGATCAAAAAACAGTTTCTGCAGAATGGTACACTACCAATTGTTTGCCACTTGTCTTGGAAAAAGTTCGAGAGAAACGACCTCGCAGTAGGATCCTCCTTCACCACGACAACGCCTCGTCGCACACCGCCAAGCGAACGATCGACTATTTGGCGACATCAAACGTTGAATTACTGGGTCACCCGCCGTATAGCCCCGACCTCGCGCCTTGTGATTTTTATTTATTTCCAAAAATTAAAGAAAAACTTAAAGGAAAGCGGTTTATGAATGCTGAAGAAGCGGTGGCTGCGTATCGCGATGCCATTGAAGAGACCCCTAAGGACGAGTGGGCAAAGTGCTTTTCCCAGTGGTTCCATCGCATGCAGCGGTGTATTGACGTGAATGGACAATATTTTGAAAAGATATAATAAAACTAATAACTGGCTAATGTAATCAGTTTTTGATTTTCTAAGAACTTTCAGTTTGACCCTCGTATATGCAACAAAACAGGAAGATGATGAATTTAGGATAAAATATAGACGCAAGACAAGAAATACAGAAAAGTGCCATGTCATAGTTCAACTAAAACCCGAATATTGGAAAAAGATCACGGAGAAGGGGCATCTGTACATCGAGATGGAGAGGGTGAGGGTCGAAGACCAGACCCCTCTCATACAATGTACGAGGTGCCTAAACTTTGGTCACGGCAGAAAATTTTGCCACGAGAGTGCGGACAAATGCAGCCACTGCGGAGGGTTACACCTGCGGGCAGAATGCCCAGACAGAAAAGCAGGAGTCCCACCGCAGTGCTGCAATTGCACGCACGCGGAAATGTCGGAAACTGACCATAATGCGTTCAGTACCATCTGTAAGATTAGGGAGAAATGGGACAGCCTCGCCCGCTCCACTACAGCATATGACTGAGGACAACACAGAACAACATGTAAACAAAGAAAACACACACCAAAACATAACACAAACATCGAACAAAAAACATACACACAAAGAAGAACAGATAACACACACACAAAACAATGGAGAGATTGGAATGATGCACATTCTAATCAATCCATTGAAACAAAAAACAAAAAACAAACATAAAGTAGAGCATCATGAAGATGCAAAGCTTCATGGAAAAACCAAACATACAAAACACATAAATGAATACAATAAAACCGGACTTGACCAAATAAATAAAGAGTAATAAAACTAACTGAAAAAGAAATAGGATTACTATATATATTTAAATATATATCAATAGTGACCTTAAATACAGGAATAATAAAATCAGATATATTATAGTAAGAATGAAATAAATAGGATAGGACAGAAAGAAAAGAAATAGAAACAAGAAATAAGATAAAGGAAATACTAACAAAGATAGAAACATGTAAGAATAAAATATCGAAAGTAATGAATAAAGGAAGAGTAATTGAAATACAAATATACACTTGTAATTGTAATAGAATAAGAAAATGTAAATAGAAAATATGTAAAATAGAATAAGACTTTGAATGCAAATAAAAACAACTAGTATATATGTAAACTTACTAATGAAGTAGAGGCAAAAATAATGTAATAGAAAAATCAAGAAAAGTAACAAAAACATGTAATAGAATAAGTAAATAAGATAGAATAAGAACCATGTAATTAGAATAAGAAAGGACAATGTAACTGGTAGAAGGAGATAAAGGAGAATGTAAAAGAATATAAACTGAATGTTATAGAATAAGAGAAAGTAAATAGAATAAGAACTATGTAAACTAGAATAAGACATGTTATCGAAAATAAAAATAAACCCCGTGTATGTGTTAAACCCCATGAACAAAGATAAATAAAGAAAATAAAAATTATTAGAATAGACAGAATAGGACCGGCACTCCCAGCCGAAGGTATGAAAGAGGAGGAAAAAGAGAAAGATAAAGTATGCAGCATGGATGTCAGTATAAAAGTGAGAACTGGAATGGATGAGAAACTTAGAGAATAGCAAGGGCCTGCTAAAAAGTGGGGACACGTAGGAAGCCTGGCCATAGACTGTAAGGCCAGGCACAAAAAAAAAAAAAAAAAAAACCCTTAACCCTTAACCCTTAACCCTTAACCCTTAACCCTTAACCCTTAACCCTTAACCCTTAACCCTTAACCCTTAACCCTTAACCCTTAACCCTTAACCCTTAACCCTTAACCCTTAACCCTTAACCCTTAACCCTTAACCCTTAACCCTTAACCCTTAACCCTTAACCCTTAACCCTTAACAGTGGATATTGGTTTGTTGTTCCGAAAAAAGAGACATATTACGTGATATTATTGACGTTTCTCAGTAAGCTCCACTGTTATAAAGACCAAGGCAGGAGGATAGTGGTGGTGAAGAGGAAGGGAAGAAAGATCCTATTAGTTAATTTTTCCTATGTCATGCTTTAAACTGAATTTCGATAACTTATGACGACTGTTCCAGTGTCTCGAATTTTATTTCTTCAAAGGTTGCGAGCAGCGAGTCGGTACTAACGTACTCCTAACTATGATGTTTATTGACTTGTGACGTCCACCCTATTGGGTTTTTAAGTATTTAGTATTGATTTATTACATCTTAATATATTATTGAACTTGTGACGTCCACCTTATTGGGTTTTTAAATACTTAGTGTTAATTTATTGTAATTTAATTAAGCTGCGACGTTCATTGAATTGAATTCAACAACGTCCCAGATTGGGTAAAGACTATAGCATAAATTATTGAGTATTGTATTGTAATATTGTATTGACAGTGTACCCTATTGGGGCACTTCTTAGATATAAGTTTTAAAACAATCAAAATTGAACTATAGACGTTAATCCCCTTCTACTTTGGGAATTAAGGACCTTTGATTTTGACTATTACAAATAAAAGCATTGACTTAATAACAACTGACTCAGTATTACATTGATATACAACTTTTACAAACCTATATTATAAATATAAATAGAAATTAAAAGAGTCAAAACTCAACATTATAGACACATACAATTATATAAACAATAAACAAAACACAACATACAAATACACACATACACAAACACACACATAATCACACACAACGAACACACACATATCACACAACATAAAACATTAAAACAGAACACACAAAACAATAACACAAAATAACACTAACATAAATACTTACATATATACTTACGAAGTTTGATTAGAAATAGAAATCCGTCCCCCATCCAGGCAGCACCACCCCATCTGAAACAAAAACATAAATAAATAAAATATAAAATATGGAAAACGATGCCGGAAAAACATTTATAAAAGCACAAGATAGGAAAAGAAGGTCACAGCAAATAATGGAAATTCATAAAAGAGGAGAGAGGGATACAAAAACCCTAGAACAATTATTACATAAAGCAATGGGCATCATGGAGAGTATACCGGATCAAATATACGGATCCATGAAAAGGGAGGTGAAAGACTACCTGGAAAAAGCAGCGGAAACAGGCCTACTTACACTCTTTGAAATTAGTAATAGGATAGCAGAAAAGGAAGATGAAAGAATGAAAGAGAAGGAAAGAATGAAGGAAAGAGAGGAAGTGAGAGAACAGATGAATGAAATGAAGAGAATGATGATGGATGAAATGGAAAGTATAAAAGAGAAACTAGAAGAACAACAAAAGACACAAATAGAGCATAGGGAAGAAGAAAATAGAAGAAGAGAGGACAACGAGACCAATACAATAAAGCTCCTAAGAACGCTTGATTATAAGATGGAAAACATGGAAAGTAGAGATGAGATACTCTTTGATCGATTGGCAGATAGATCGCTGAAAGACGGAGAATTCGTTATTGCCACAATAACGAAAAAGATGGAAGCGATCGAAGAAAACATAACTGCAGAAACTATAGAATTAGACCGGAAAATTGGAGAGAGATTGGGAAGAAGAACAGTTATGGAAGGAAATGGAGGAGAGATGGGAACGATTGAAGGAGTAGAACATCAAATAAAAGAGACAGGAAAGGAGATAACTGCGGAAATTACAAAAACTATTGACACAGTCCTAACCGAATGCATGCAAGATCTGCATAATGCAATCACATACGGAGGAGCTGCACCGGACGACAATTCTGCAGTTATAAATAAAATAGGAGCACTGGAAACAAACGTAAAGGAAAACATAGAGGAGGCAAAGAAGGAGATAACGGAGAGGATGAACGAGAACAAATTGGAAATTGTAAAAAGTCTGGAAACATCAACACAAGGGAACACCTTGATGCAGCAAAGAACACCACCAGCTAAAACTTACGCAGAAGCTGCAAAAATTAAAAACAAATACAGACAAAGAACTTTACACTCCATACTCGTGACATCCAAGAATGAGATGGATACCGCGGAGGAAGTCATAGGCAAAACAAAGGAGATACTGGAGCCAGAGAAGAATAAAATACAGATTGAAAGGATACGAAAGGTAAAAGACCAAAGAGTGATCATTAGTTGTATGAGTGAGAAAGAAACGGAAAGAATTAGGGAAAAAATAAGTAGCAGCGAACACCTGAAAGTGGAGAGAGTGAGAAATAAGAACCCACTAGTAATCATTAAAGAAGTAAAATTTAAAATGACAGATGACGAAATTAGGAACGCTATAAAAAACCAAAATCCCGATATCTATATTGAACAGCAACGGGAAGAGAATGGAATAAAAATTAAATATAGACGCAAGACCATAAACAACGAAAAATGCCACATAATAGCACAAGTACCATCAGAAATGTGGAAAAAAATGGTCACTAAAGGGCATCTATACATTGAGATGGAGAGAGTGAGGGTCGAAGACCAGACCCCCCTCATCCAATGCACTAGATGCCTAAAATATGGACATGGCAAGAAATTTTGCCCAGACAGTGTGGACAGATGCAGCCACTGCGGAGGAGAACACCTGCGGGCAGAATGCCCAAACAGAAAAGCAGGAGTCCCCCCGCAGTGCTGCAACTGTACACACGCTGAGCTACAGGACAATCAACATAACGCATTTAGTATTGATTGTAAGGTGCGAGAAAAGTGGGACAGCCTCGCTCGGTCAACAACATCCTACGAATGAGGACTGCCAAAACCGGAATAGACAACATCACAGAATAACACAAGACACTCATAAACACATAAAACACATAAAGAACACACACAAACAAAAAACAAAAATAAAAAACAGACACAAACACACAGGACAAAATCAACACACCAACAACAATGGTCCGATGATTATGGGGAAGAATGATGACCATTCCAACCAAATCAGAAGACCATTGAACGAACAGAACACACAAAATATAGAACAATCCATAATGAATATGGAAAATTCTATAAAATCATTACACAAATCAAACAAAAGAATATATATAAATGAATATATAAACAAATTACGACATACAAACAGGACTGACTTGACAAATAAAAACACAAAATATGACAGTGAAAAGGAAAGAGGAACACTACATATATTAAAGAATATATACCTAGTGACCTCGAACAAAACAACACAACGGAAGAGACAGTACTTAGCAAATAAAAAAATGAAAAATATGGACAAACCAGGACATAAGTAAGCAATGTAATAAGTAGGTAACATGTAATACAATTGTGGATCTATAATATATAAAAATAGTATTTATAGATAAGTAAATATTGTAAATGAATAAATAACAAAATAGTAGCATAAAACACAAAGAGCATAAGAAACGAATGTTACATAATATGTAAGAAATTGTATAGAAATAAAGAAACATAAAAATTAAGGATAAAATGTAAATAGTAAAATAGTAAAGAAAAATTGTATACCTAATAAAATTGGGAATATAGAAGGAGAAGGAGAAGAAATGAAATGGAAAGATAATATATATAGAAAGAAATGTAACACAAAAACTCACTATTGGAAAATAAAGAGAGGTGTACACTGTTATTATTACCCTAATAAATAATAAGATAAATAAAATCAGAACAAGTAGAATAGACTAGGACCGGCAATCCCAGCCGTAAGAATGAGAGTGGAAGGACGAAAGAAAGATACAGTATGAGGAATGGAAGAAAGCAAATGCGAGAACTGGAATGAATGTGAAATATAGCGAATAATAAGGGCCTGCTAATAAGTGGGGACAAGTTAGGAAGCCCGGTCATAGACTGTAAGACCGGGCATATAAAAAAAAAAAAAAAAAAAAAAAAAAAAAAAAAACCTAACCTAACCTAACCAACCGTCTTGCCTGGGAAGTCTTACGGAGCGCACGCGTCTCGGGTCGCTCCGTCCCCATACTCAACTTATTAATACAATTCAACTCTAAAACCATTTCAAATAGTTTACTCAAGTACAATTAACCCAGTTCCACCTAAATCAAGTGTTAATAATCGAGTTAATAGACAATTAAACCAAATTTAGTGAAAAACTGTTCAAAGTGTTCCGATCGGTTAAGGTGAAACCGAACGAGACGTTAAAATACCGCGTGAAAACCATCAAAAAAGTGCCTCCTGGTGGAAAACTAGATATCCACATAAGTGAGTACCCGGAGTGAACATTAATATATCGGTTCCCATCGAAGGTAACCTAAAACTTAGTGAAATGTGTTCAGTGTGACCAGTTCGGTTAAGGTCAATCGGTACATAGCACCGAAACATCGGGTAAAAGACTATTACCAAGGTGCCTCTTGGAGGAAAGCTAAATACCAACAAAAGTGAGTACTTGGAGTGAAAACGCGGGACATTTTTAATAATACTTAGCCGTTTTTTGCTATAGTTAAGATCGTTCAGGTCTGTTAAGGTTGACTGGAACAAAGTGTAAATACACAGCCAATAAGTCAAATATATCATTGCCCTCTCGAGATAAGTTGGGTAACTACATAGTGAACATTAGGAGTGTGAATTCGGAACTTTTTCTCTCTAATTTCGATTATTTTCACGCATCTGTTCATATTGTTCGAACTGTTAAGACTGTACAGTTTTGTTAAAGTGCATCCGAATAGAGGACTAAAACAACTACAAATAGACTTTTACCTCGGTGCCTATCACTATAAATTCATATTACGAAACAACAAGTGTTAGGAGTGAACGAACATTCAAATTCCTCATCAAAATTCCGACTTTTCAACACATCCGTTAGCACAGATCAAATCGAGTTAAGTTTGTTCAGTTCAACCTGAACACATTTGAACAAAGTGTTAAGGTTGTTAAGTTAAGTTTGTTCAGTTCAGATTGAGCACATCCGAACAATGTGTTAAAATTGTTCTGTTCAGTTCCGCTCAGTTCTGTTTCGTTCAGATCGGTCAGTGTACACCCGAACAAAGCGTCAAACGGTCGTTAAAAACAGTAGCTTCGCGCTTGCCCCTCTGAGTATAAATAATTGTAATACAATATAGTGAGAATTAGTACCTAAAAACTTTTTAATTAATAATTTTTAATTTTTAATTTCTCTAGCCAAATCAATTACTTCAGAGAAATTGAAAAGACTGTTCTGTTCACGTTAAAGCCGATCGGTTCATGTTCAGGTTGTTCGGTTCACATTGTCTACACCTGAACACAGTGCTTTAAAAACAATATAACAAGATCATTACACGTGTGTTCCTATTACGAAGCTATCACGCGACTATCATAACTTTTGTGCCGGTGCGGTTCGGTACAATTAATCGGTTAGTTAAGTGAATTGAACTAATCAAGTGCGTTCTGTGATTTCGCGCAACAAGTGACGGCAAGTGATATCAGGCCTCCGGCATTGTCTTTTAAGACTGCCGGAACACACCGGATAGACTGAATCCCGGCTCTGTGCCGGCACTCCTCGAGAACACAGCCGCCGACCCGCCGGACTGCGGGACCGGCTCGGTAGCCCCGGGCTTCGGATTACCGAGGGCCATCCACCGAGGGGGCTTGAGCGACCGCTCGGCCCTCCCTTCCTCCCTCCCTCGGCTTCCAGTTGCGGTTCCGGTGCAAGGTAGGAAGTAGCTACTATACAGCTTAGCGACCATACACAATCTCAAGCTTACACACGAGGCGACCGCTGGGGCTCACTCACTCACTCGCCGTACGACCGACAGCTGAACACCGGCCTTTTAGGAATCAGCCCCTGGGAAAGTAACGAAGAGTATCCACATTCAAACAATTTTGTATACAGTTTAAACTTTTTGTTTACCAATAACATCATTAATTCATTGTATTCTAATATTAATATTAATTTTAACTGTAATTTTAATCTTAATCAACTAATCCAAGTAAGCATTCACTGGTTGGAAAGTCGGCTGTAACCCACCCCGGGCTTTGTCAATTCTCTACTGTGTATTATTCAACACCGGATTTCTGTATATTTCTTTACCTCATTTTTAATTTAATTTAATTTACTTTAATTTACTTTACTTTACTATTATCGTAATACTGCCTGCGGGATATTGTTTACGATTTTTGATTCGTATCCTATTGAGTGTTTAAATTACCACTACTAGCAATAGGGGCCGTGTCCGGATTGCTGAGAGTCAACCCTGTACTCATAGAATTCATATAAAAAAGTTCGTCTTCACCCCCCTGTGTGCATGTTCGTTCGTCTGCATTTATCATCTGTTTGCCTATCTGTGTTACTTGCTTTTTTGTGTTATTTATTTTATATCAACTTGTTAATCTTTCGCGAGCAATTAATTGTTTAATTATCACAATTAAATAACTACACTTTTATCATCATCAGCATATAATCATATATTTACCGTTAGGATCCGATCAGATTGATAATTCAGTTCAGTTCGGATCGTTAAGATTTAGTTAAAACATAGTTCAGTTCAGATCGACTCAGAACAGTACAGATTCGATAAGGTACGGTTAGGATCAGATCAGATTGTTAAGTTAGCTCAGTTCAGATTGTTAAGATTTAGTTAAAACATAGTCCAGCTCAGTTCTGCTCGAGCCTGTACAGACTTGATAATCATCAAAACCAGATCGGTACTGATTAAAGAATAACTTGTCGAGGCACCGTTAGGATCCGAACTGATCAGATTGATAAGTTAGTTCAGTTCAGATAGTTAAGATTCAGTTACAGCACAGTTCAGTTCAGATCAGCTCAGGCCGGTACAGATCAGATAAGGTACTGTTAGGATCTGATTAGATCAGATTGATAAGGTAGTTCAGTTCAAACTGATAGGATTCAGCTAAAATATAGTTCAGTTCAGATCGACCCAGGTCAGTATAGTTCCGATAAGATACCGTTAGGATCCGATCAGATTGATAATTTAGTTCAGTTAGGATCGTTAAGATTTAGTTAAAACATAGTTCAGTTCAGATCAGCTCAGGCCAGTACAGATTAGATAAGGTACTGTTAGGATCTGATTAGATCAGATTGATAAGATAGTTCAGTTCAAATCGTTAGGATTCAGCTAAAACATAGTACAGTTCAGATCGACTCAGGTCAGTACAGTTCCGATAAGATACAGTTAGGATCCGATCAGATTGATAACTTAGTTCAGTTAGGATCGTTAAGGTCTAGTTAAAACATAGTTCAGTTCAGATCGACTCAGAACAGTACAGATTAGATAAGGTACGGTTAGGATCTGATCAGATTGCTAAGTTAGTTCAGTTCAGATTGTTAAGATTTAGTTAAAACTTAGTCCAGCTCAGATCTACTCAAGCCTGTACAGTTTTGATAAGGCGCCATTAGGATCGGATCAGATAGATAAGTTAGTTCAGTTTACCATTTGATATAATCAAACAAAACTGCATATGCACACACATACGCACACGCACACACTCACACACATATACAACAAACACACACACACACGCACACACTCACACAGATCTCTTAACTAATAACGGGCAGGATGAATCAAACAATAACAAAAACCTCTAATAAAAACAAAAGCAATAATAATGAGAAAAATCCCGGGGAAACAAACTCCAAGCACGTTACTAATAACAACAACAAGGGTGATAGCAACGGTAACGCACACAAAGGGCCGCTCACTAGAAATAGGAAAAGAAGAGAAATGCTGATGGAAGAATTGGCCAAGGACCACGGCCACTGTGACGACTCAACCATAATTTCTGACGGATACACGGACACCGGATCGACGGTCACCATCTCACCGGACAGATTTATGGGCATGACGGGCGAGAGACTGTCCGACTCGGACTCCGTGGACACGATAAACATTTGGGCATCACAACCCCCGCACCCCGCTCCCACAAGAACACCAGAGCCCCAACCGCTGTCTCCGCTCTCTCTCTCCTCCCTCTCGTCTTTGGCATTACCGGACGACTTGCCGAGGACACCTAGACTATCACCGTCGTCATCATCATTATCATTCAGCTCCACCTCCAGCCACGATACGGATAGAACTGCCGAATGCACCTCTCCAAAGGGCACCATCCCCCACAGCACAACAACAACAACAACAAGAAATAAAGACAAAAGGAAGGGGGACGAGCCTTTCAGCATGGAGGAGTGGAGGAATACTCCCAGTTGCTCATACGCACGGATAGGGGACAGAGAGAAGGAGACCGCAGGACGCCCCGAACGGCCCCCACCACTGTCACGGCTCAGGGAGCAACAGAAGGATACCGCTAGCGAATCAGAGGGCACTGGGAGGGGAAGAATCATCAACAACAAAGAGGTGGGGGGAAAAGGGAAAGGGATAGGCAAAAGATCGCTCCCAACACCCGCAATCGAACCCATAGGGGAAAACGAGGAAAAGACGACCTCGGGTACCTCCCCCTCCTCCGCCGCCCTAGCCCCCCCCCCTGCTCAGCCAGCGGACACACACAGCGCAATATCACCGCCGAAGGGAACAGGCGCAGTGATAATCAATGGGGCCTCCGTTAGCGAAAATTTAGCCAAAACCAAAACCGAAACCGAAATTCAAACCAAACTCAAATTTACCGGCGTCCTCAGCGATAGCAGCGCAG